TATTCTATGCATGCAAATTGCTGGGCTAATCCCCTTGAGATCAGTCATCATCCGCTATATTACTTTCTCATGTTCTTATAAAACTTTTAATGTTTTATTTCCTATTCAATAATCAATAAGGTAAGGTTTGATTTGGTCTAAGAAAAATATATTTCAATAAATGAGGAAGAGGTTTTCATTATAAATTTAGGGGATTCTCTAATAATGATTCTATGAATGTTATGTCATGATCTAATACCTCTTTCCTATAATATTTAAAGATATGTTTTAACCTTCATATTTCATATTTATAATTCTATTTTCACAATCAATATTGTCTTGGTTGTGGCAAAAAATTAGTGTCCCAATATGATTGGTGCATGAGTAAGATTATCTAAAAAAGGAATATCTAAAATCAAAAAATTTACTGAAAATCTATATCCTTTAACAAATATTATAAAAAAATTTAAAAGACCCCTTGGTGTTTTAATAGATTTATCAGCTAGCTGAAATTCTGCTAAAGTTGATTTTAATTCTCCTAATTTTAAATCTTCAAAAAAAACTAAAGGTAATAAATTAACACTTGCACCCAAATCTAAGAGCACATTTCTAAATGAGAGGTGCTCCTTAATCCTTACATTTCTTAGGCAAAGAATGAGAAATAGTAGTACTAGCCTCTTCATATAAAGATAACTTCTGAGGTGACCTACAATGTGTGCATAATTCTTTTAAAAATTTCGCATATGTAAGTATATGTTTGATTGTATCTACCAAAAGAATAGAGATTTGAATGTGTTTAAATATTTTCATATATTTTTTAATTAAGCTATTTTCCTAAGTTTTGGTTATAATGCCTTAGAAAAGTAGACTATTTTTCTAAGTTGATCCAACTATGATAAAATAGAAATGAGTGGTATGTCCACTTCTGATTTTTCTTCTTTTGATTCTTGTTTCTCTTCCTCTAAATTTTCATCATCAGAAATAAACTATCATGATCATTATCATCAGCATTTAGCACTTCATCATCATGAACTTGTTTTTCTAAAAAATCTGACTAAACCTTTGAGTTACTTTCCACTCCTCAAAGTGGTCACCACTTCTATATTTTTCATAACCTTGAGATGTAGGTGGTTTATGCCTACTCCAAGTTTACCTCAAAGTGGTCACCACTCCTCAAAGTCCTCAAGACTGGCTAGTTTACCTATCTATTTTTCTAACCTAAGAGTTATTTGCTGATTTTTTTGCCTAACTTGCTCCATCATCTTCATCATACATGTATTTATTTCCTAAAATGATTACATCATTTACCCCATAAATTGGTGCATTGAATTTGAATTTATATCAGATTGATTTTGAAATGAATTAGGATATTGTGGGCTGAAGTTGGAGACTGAACTTGAAGAAGAAGGGGTGAAAGTGTGGGTAGGTGGTTGATGAATACCTTGCTAGAAATTATGAGTATTTTGTTGATAAGAGAGCTTAAGATTATATTGTGGTTGATGAAGATGTCTAAATGTATGATTAGGTCTAAGAAATGATTGAGAGTTCATGACATAATTTTGAGAATTTGAAAACTTATTCTGATTTTTCTAATGAGGATTTGATTGATTCCTATGATCAAAAAGTGATGCGCATGCTTTTGATATAAATTTAGACATTGAGATTCATAATGATCAGTTCTACCACATGATGAACATCTAGAATATGAATGTTGTGCAGGTCGTGTAGGTCTCTTTTTATTTAAAAAATGATCATATAAAATATTCAACTTTTGATGAACCTCACTAACTTCATTTCTAATGTGTAATGCATCATGATTTAGAACTTTGAACATTTCTCTTTTATTTTCATTATTGCTGCGGTCATATAAAGCAAAAAATTCATGTTCTACAGAATTTTTACTTAAATTTTCATATATTCTAGAAATGTCATCGTCATCTTTACTCATAAGCATGCCTCCACATACAGCATCTATAATGTTCTTGTGTTGTTTCATTACACCATCATAGAATACATAATTTAATTGTTATTTGGTAATTTCATGACATCTATATCTCCTTTGAAACTCCTTGAATCTTTTTAAGATTCATATCATGCTTCTCTTGATTTTGGAGTAAATTAGAAAATAGTTTTTCATATAACATGAGTCTTGCCAACAAGATAAAATTTTCTCAAAAATGCTTACTCTACTTCTAATCATGTGGTGATCTCATATGGTAATAATGTGAGTTAATCTCTAGCTTTATCATGTAATGAGTATAAGAAATATTAGGAATATAAATAAGTTCACACACAACTAGAAATCAAAGAATATGTTGATATGGTTCCTCATTAACTAACCCACTAAATTCAAAAAGTATTTGTAGAGTGCTATGACGAATATCAAAATGATCATTTAGCAAAATAGGTTTAACCTACAAAGTAGGTTCATATAAACCATATGTATAATAATCATGCATAGGTTTATAAGGTTGACTTGTTTCAGTATTTTCATACTACTAAGATCTCTACTATGGGTGGTAAACTTCATTTTTCTTGTGCCCCTAAATTCTTAAGTTAGTTGGTTAGATTTTCTAAGATTGATTACCACTTACATCTACCGTTCATAAAATAGGCTTTTAAAATTTAATTCTAGCAATAATCATGATATGAAGATATGATTCTAATAAAATTATCAAAGAGAAATGTAGAATCAATGTGTAATTTAAAATACTCAAGTAAATAAATAGAAATTTAAAATTTAAAACTCTAACTTATGACAAAAATTTGAATAGAAATCAAATGAGCCTAATAAAAAAATTCTTTTTTTAGAAATACTATTTAAATGAAAATAATAACATAATGAAAGCTATAATACTTTTTTAAATCGCTAAAATATGAAAAACTAAATCAATTAACACCAATTAAAAATAAATCTCTCCGACAACAATGCCAAAAAGATGATGTACACTTGTAGTTGTGTTTAAATATCAATTATCAAATAATATCTATAACTAAGACTTAATAAGATGTTAATATAGATGTAAGTCTCAAGTCAAACATATAAAGATGGATTAATTTGTCATAAAAATTAATTTTTTTTATATATATAAAGTGATTTTAATATTTATTACTATTTAATGGAAATATTAAATATAAAGGTGATGTGAGAAGAATAAAAGAAGGGGAGTGGAGAAAAAAAATAAGAAAAGAGAGAGAGAGAGAGAGAGAAGAGATCTCTCGTGAAAGAGAGAAAGAGAGAGAGAGATAAGCGGAGAAAAATAAGACAATAATAAGACATTTACAGTGACCATTATTCTCAAACGAATGTATGCTTGAGAATTCACACACATGACATGAGGTCAGCCTTGAATGTCTCCATCTTATTTCAACAATTTAATGATCACTAAGCAGCTTTTAATTTTGCTGATTTCATATTCGAAAATAGAAATATACATGTTATTCATGAAAAATAAGGAATGTGAATATATCAAGATTTGACTGTAAAAGTCAGTAAAAAATAAGTTGAAAATGGTTTTAGTTTGATCTCAAATGAGTTTCGAAGGATTCAGAAAAGGAATGAAATCATTTATCAAGATTTGACTTAGTTTTACTCATTTCAATCTAAACACGTATGAAATAGAAATAATTTTCCATAAAATATAAATAAATATTAAAATATGTAATAAATAAAATAAATAAAAAATAAATCATTGCCCAAGTTTAGTTTATCTATTGGGCAATTGAAGACATCAGTGTGCTGGCTTGGTTTCATCCAAATGTGCCACACCACCTTGGAAGTCCCAGAAGTATTGTCTAGAAGCAATGCATTACTTGTCAGAGAGATCCATCAAAAAGAGAGGTCAACCACGTCGTCACCATCATCTAGAGGGAGAAAGGAACAGCTAACCATTCGTCAGAGGCCTTGAGTCCAGTTAGAGGAGGAAGGAATGAGCTCATCGATCGTTGAAGGTATGGATCACATGAAAGAAGTGTAGAATCAATTGTCGTATTCGTGATTGTCATTGAGATTTTAAACATAATCAGTAATATTTATTTTACCAAATGATTAATTCTTATATTTATATTTGATGTGACAATCATTATATAGTAAATCATCCAAATTTAAAATTTAGAAAACTAGAAAATACTAATTTTCAGATATTTAGAAGTATTTTAGAAAAAATATATCAACTATAATTTAATAAAACTTTCTAAAATAGTGATAATTTTCCAAATCAATCATAGAGATGTAATATAATATCAGATAATTTTTCAGAATCGTTTTCAAAGAATATGATTTTATATATAGTTTATACTAGAAAATGAAAATAAAATATATTTAAAATTCACAAAAAATGAAAATAAGAGTAGAGACGTCAAGATAATGTTAACGTGTCACAAACATGAATTAGACAAAATCAGAGTTCCACCCGATGATTCTTATATAAGTGATTATAGACAATTTAATTGATCAAATTAAGATCTATAAAAGTTAAAAAAATTGTAATTGAATGAAGTATAGCTTTGTAAATTTAAATCATACAAATTATTACTAAATAAAATAAAAATTAAGTTGAAAGCAAGAAAATAGAGTTCTGACATTATGGCAGCGATGTGTCGATGATGCACTAGGATCATGAGCATTCAAGAGGATCGTCGTGTAGTGTCTATGGCCTTGAAGGCTCTCTTTGAGTAATCTCTAGATCTCTTTGCAAAGTTTAGAGATCAATAAAATGAGTAGTGATGTGACTCAGTCGTTGTATATTAAATCACGCAAATATAGAATTTATAAAACTAGAAAATACGAATTTTTGAATATTTAGAAGTATTTCTAAATAAATATATCAATTATAATTCAATAAAAATTCCAAAAATAGCATTAATTTTCCAAGTCAATCACAGGGATGTAACATAATATCTGGTAATTATTCAGAATTTTTCTCAATGAATACGATTTTCTTACAAATTTTATACTAGGAAATAAAAAAGAAATATATTTAAATTAACGAAAAAAAGGAAATAAGGGTACGGATGTCAAGATGACGTCAGCGCCTGGCGAACGCGAATCAGGCGGAAACAGAGTTCCACCTAGTGATTCTTAAGTTAGCGATTATAGATGACTTAATTAATCAAATTAAGATCTGTAAAAGCTGGAAGAATCATAATTGAACGAAGTATAGTTTGGTAAATTAAAATCACACAAAGTATCACTAAATGAAGCGTAAATTAAATTGAACGCAGGAAAATAGAGTTATGGCGTCGCGACGGCGATGTGTTGGCGATGCACCGGAATCTTGAGTGTTCAAGAGGATCATCGTGTAGTGTCCACGGCCTCGAAGGCTCTCCTTGGACAAAGACGACGTGGGCAATTTCTAGACCTTCTCGTAAAGTCTAGAGATCAATGAAGTGGGTCGTCAAATCGTCTCTGGCAGCTGTCACCTAGCGGAGCGAAAAAATGGCGACTTTACGGCTCTCTAGTGGCTATCACCTGACGGAGAGGAGCTGGATGAAGGTGGGGCGTGTGTTAGAGAGCTTCATCCTCAGGTCCGCACAGCAAGAGAAGGCTCTTCATCGCATTTGGTATGCTCTCAAGAGGTGGCGACTGGTCTCTTGGCGGATCGTCCTCTTCCCGACGATGGCTTGTTCGTCGATCAATCGAAGATGATTTACTCAATGGATTCGCGATCCTTTTATCGCGAATCGTTCAACAATTTTAGTAGCAATGCTCCGCAAATTGCGTTGACGAGATTTTCGCCGATGATCTAGTGATTCTCATTGCTTAATCCTTCACCAGCGATCTGCAAGAAAGTCACGATAATCAAATAAAAATATATGAATTTTGACTCTAGAAGGATTCGAACCCGCGCCGGTTGCTCGCCTATGAAGAAGGTGTGATGCGGGTTTAGTCCCACATCGGTTGTGCGCCGATTTTTTGGGCGAATATATAGTAATGTTAACTTTGCAAGCAAAGTCCTTTCTCTCGCGTGTACAACCACTCCTTGCCCCACAGCCGGCTGGCCACCGATGACGTGGAAGGGGAGTGGCGCACACATGCGCCCCTATTGGTCCAAGCTAAGCCGCTCGAGCCCCTGCTTGTGGCTACTCCCCAACTGTGCTTCCGACCCGCTCGCGGGCCTGGCTAGCCAGCAAGTCCCCCTCATTTTGCAATATTTTTTATTTTTATTTCTTGTTCTTCATTTATCTCAAAGGTAAGACTGTAAAAATCATATAAAATCACATAATTACCCAAAAATTCACATTAATCAATTGAAAACAAAAAATCATTCTTTAACATAAATATAAGTCTATTTATCATGAGTTAAGGCTAAAACTATATTATTTACTAACTATTAACTCATGATAATGAAGACTTATCAAGTAGTCAAATAGTCTTCAGTGGCTGATACTTAGTAGAGTAGAAAAATGACAACTTTGCTGATCTCTTATAGTTATCACCCAATGGAGAAGAGTTGGATGGAGGTGAGGCGCATGTCAGGAAGCTTCATCCTCAAGTGTGCGTAGCAAGAGGAGGCTCTTCATCGCATCTAGTACGCTTTCAGGAGGTGGCGACTCGTCTCTTGATGGATCGTCCACTTTTCGATGACGGCTTGTTCATCAATCAATCAATGATGATTTACTTGATGGATTCACGATCCTTTTATATTTATTTAGAAATACTTCTAAATATCCAGAAATTCGTATTTTCTAGTTTTATAAATTTAATATTTGCGTGATTTAATATACAACGACTAAGTCACGTCAAATTTTGGCACTGTTGCTGGGGATGTATTGCATAATATTTAATATTTTTCTATTTTTCTCTTAGAGTACATAGAAAAACTTAACTCTTGTTTTATTTTCTTTTTTGCTAATTTTTATTAGAAAAAGGGAATGAAAAGAAGCACGGCAAGGACTGAAGCATCCTAAAGGAGCGTAACAGTTACTAACTTTTTCTATCGAATTTATTGATTTTTATGTATGGTAGAAGATCCTTGCATCCAAGGCTAGAAAATTCTTTCATTATTTCATTGAAAAATAAAAATCTGAAAGAAAAACTAATTTTGATGGATCCTAAAGGAAGTACAGGTCAAACTGAGAACAATCTTATGGCCATGAAAAATCATTATATCCTTGATTCATTTCAAAGAGCATTTAATATTAAAGTCCCATTAGCACCCACTGTTAAATTCGAAATAAATCCAGGAATTTTTCAAATGCTCCCTAATTTTCATAGATTGCCTTTAGAGAAACCTCATCAACAGCTAGAAAAATTTCATATGGTATGTGATTTAGTTAATCTTTCTCAAGTTACACCGAAAATTATTAAGATGAAATTATTCCCTCATACACTTAGGGACAAAGCTAGTCATTAGCTATCCACATTAGATAGAGAATTAACTAGCTGAAAAGATATAGAACAAGCTTTTTTTCAAAAAATTTATCCCTTAAAAAAAACTCAAAATATGAGAAAACATATATAGAGTTTTTCTCAAAGACCAGGAAAAACTTTACATGAGACATAGGAAAAATTTAAAGATTTACTTAGAAAGTGTCCTCATCATGCTATACCCAAGTGGCAGCTCAATATAATTTTTTATGATGGATTATTAGAACAACATAAAAATATGGTTGATTCTATATGTAGAGGAGCTTTTATGAAGAAAACTCTTGATGAGATTTACAGTCTTTATGAGAATTTAAGTTAAAATTCTAGAGATCAAGCCTCTTTTGAATTATATGACAAGGATAAGAAGAGAGAAATTTATGAATTGCATCATGATGATGATTCTAAACTTATAAATGAAGTTAATCAGATTAATCAAAGATTAGAAAAAATTGATTTACTTATTGACAATATTAGAAAGCCTTTTAACCCTCAACTTAATTCGAATAGTACATGTCCTATGTATGGTGAAAATGATTATTCTGAATTTCAATGTTATAATTTAGATCAATCATTTCATCCTATGCAAGAACAAGTGTAGGTAGCTCACAGTTTTAATAGAAATAGGGAACCTTTTTCAAATTCTTATAATCCTAATTGGAGGAATAATTTTTCATAAAGAGACCCAAATAATATTCAAAATCCTGAAACACTTAGACCCAATTCAAACTCTGAATTTCATCCAAAACAAGAAAATAGATTTCAGAAAAATTAGTCCTCTCAAATCCAACTTGATGCTATGGAAATGATGCAACAAATGAGTCAAATGATGCAATAAACTATGAATCAAATGATGTTACACCAGAAACAAATTATAGAGGCTCTTGGGAATAAGAGAGAAGAGGGACAACTACCTAGTCAGCCCATAGAAAATCCAGGGAACCGCCCAACAATAGGATTTCAGCAAGGGGAGTCTAGTAGTATGAATCTAGGAAAAAACTCACGAAATGAAAATGTTAGGACAGTGAATGCATTAAGGAGTGGTAAGATCTTACTTGATCCTTATCCCCAAACATTAGAAGAAAAAGAAAACGTGGACAACTCAAAACAAAATCAAATAGGAGTAGAAGAAGATTTTATAGATTCTACTAAGGAAATTTCGAAAGAGAGGACAACCATTCTATTTCCTAAAGCTCTAGAGCCTAGACAAAGAAAGAAAAAAGAACACAATGAAGAAATAAAGAAAATTTTACAAGATGTACAAATTAGTCTTCCTTTACTCACTGCCATTGAACATATTCCTAAATATGTTAGAGTTTTGAAAGAAATGTGTACACCAAAAAAGGCACCTAGAGTAGAAAAATTATCTATGCATACTAGTGTATTATTATTAAATCGATTACCATATAAATTGAAAGATACAGGTGCCCCTTTAATTTCGTGTGATATTGGTGGATTCATTTTTCAAAATGCATTACTTGACACCGGTGCTAGTATTAATTTATTACCTACAAGTATTTGTGATAAATTTAATATTTCTGATCTTAAACCTTCTATTGTTACCTTACAATTTGCTAATAGATCCATAAAACATCCTAAAGGTATTTTAAAAAATGTGATAGTAATAGTTAAAAGGTGTAAATTTCCAGCTGATTTTGTAGTGCTGGAAATAGATTTTAATGGACAGTTTTATGATACACCAATCATCCTAGAGAGACCATTTTTGCATACAACAAAGATGAAATATTGATTTTCCCATAGGTATTGTGAAAATTTCATGTGGAGATCAATCAGTAGAAATTAAAATTTTTGAGGTATCAAATGATCTTAAGAAATCCCAAGTATATGATTGTCATACTATAGATCTTCTAGATGATTTTGATGATTTAGATGTTATTGATGACTGTGTGTTGGAAGAATTAGAGGAAATAGAGAATACAAATTTAGAAGAAAAGAAAGAGGAAGATCATTTGAATTTAGAGTTCAAACCTCTTCCCTCTAGTTTAAAATATATGTTTTTGGAGGAAAATAATTCATTTCCTATTATTATTGTAGCTGATTTGAGTGATGAATAGGAAGAAAAATTATTAGATGTACTTCGAAAAAATAAGAAGGCTATGGACTGAAAAATGGATGATCTAAAGGGCATTGATATGAGTGTATACATCCATAGTATATATCTAGAGGAAGGAGCTAGAACTAGTAGGGAATCACAACAAAGATTAAATCCTAACATGATGGAAATTGTAAAAAAAGAAATTTTAAAGTGGCTGGATGCTGATATTATTTATCCTATTTCAGATAGCAAATGAGTTAATCCTACATAGGTAGTGCAAAAAAAATCCGGGATCACGGTTATTAAAAATGAAAATGGGGATGAAATACAAACAAGACTAACTATCGGTTGGAGTGTTTGCATTGATTATAGAAAATTAAATTCAGTTACTAGAAAAGATCATTTTCCCTTACCATCATTTATTGATCAAATTCTAGAAAAATTAGCTAGAAAAAACTTTCTTTGTTTTTTAGATGGATACTCTGGTTATAATCAAATTTATATAAACCCTTTAGATCATGAAAAAATAACTTTCACTTGTCCATTTGGTACTTTTGCTTTTAAACGCATGCCTTTTGGTCTGTGTAATGCTCCAGCCACATTTCAAAGATGTATGCTGTCTATTTTTTTTGATATGATTGGAAAATATATAGAAATTTTTATGAACGATTTTTCTGTTTTTGGTGAATCATTTGATGAATGCTTAAATCATTTGTAGCATGTACTTGAGAAATACATAAAGAAAAAGTTAGTTTTGCATTGGGAGAAATCACATTTTATCATTAAAGAGGGAGTTGTGTTGGGTCATATTGTGAGTGAAAGGGGTTTAGAGGTGGATAGAGCAAAAATTGATATTATATCTAAAATGAAACCTCCAAATTTAGTAAAACAGATTAGATCTTTCTTCGGTCATGCAGGTTATTACAGAAAATTTATTTAGAATTTTCGAAAATTTCTAAACCTCTCACCATACTATTATCTAAAGATGTATCTTTTAATTTTGATGAGAAATGTTTTGAATATTTTTCTGAAATAAAAAGATTACTTACTGAGGCACCCATTTTACAAGCTCTTGATTGGTCCTTTCCCTTTGAAATAATGTGTGATGCATCGAATTATTGAGTGGGGGCCATTTTAGGACAAACAAAAGAGTCAAAAGCCATAGTAATTTCATATGCTAGTAAAACTATATCCGATCTTCAATTAAATTATACCACGACTGAAAAAGAGTTGTTAGCAATAGTATTTTCATTCGAAAAATTTAGATCATATATTTTGGGAGCTAAAATTATTATTTATACTAATCATGCAGCATTAAAATATCTATTAAAAAAAAGATGCAAAGCCATGTTTATTAAAATAGATTTTATTGTTGCAAGAATTTGACTTAGAAATAAAAGATAAAAAAAGTTTCAAGAATGTTGTTGCTAACCATCTTTATAGATTAAGTGATACAAGAATAAAGGCAACACCTTTACAAGACGCATTTCTAGATGAACAATTGATGGTAGCTCAACATCAACCATCACCATGGTATGCATATATTGTTAATTTTCTAGTTTTTGAAAAAACTCCAGAATAGTGGGATAAGAACAGAAAACATCATTTCTTTTATAAGATTAGAAATTATTTTTGGCATGATCTTGATTTATATTACTTGGGCAATGATCAAATTTTAAGGAGATGTGTTCCTAAAGAAGAATATCATAGCATTATTAACATGTGCCATTCATCTAACTGTGGAGGACATTTCTTTGGACGAAAAATAGCTGCAAAAATTTTTCAGTGTGGTTTTTATTAGCCTACAATCATTAGAGATTCTATAGAATTTAATAGAACATGTATTTCATGCCAATCTATAGGTAACATGAGTAAAAAAGATGAAATGCCCATGAGTAACATGTCAGTAGTCAAAATTTTTGATGCATGGGGAATAGATTTCATGGGTCCCTTCCCATCAGCTGAAAAATATGAATATATTTTTCTTGCTGTTGATTATGTGTCGAAGTGAGTGGAAGCTATTCCTACTAGAACTAATGATCATAAAATCGTGATGAAATTTGTGCAAGAAAATATTTTTTCGAGATTTGGATGTCCTAGAGTGATTATTAGTGATAGAGGAACACATTTTACAAATAAACATTTCTGGGAATTATTGAAAAAGAATAGAGTACATCATAGAGTAACCACTCCATATCATCCCAAAATAAATGGGCAAGCTGAAGTAGCAAATAGGGAAAGTCAGAGAATTTTGAGAAAAATAGTTAGACCAGATAGGAAAGATTGGCCCACGAAATTACAAGATGCATTATGGGCTTATAGAACAGCTTATAAAAATCCCATAGGTATGTCCCCATTTCGTCTCATTTTTGGAAAGCCATGTCATCTTCTTGTGGAAATAGAGCATAAAGCATTATGGGCTATAAAAAATTTATGTATGGATGAGAAATCAGCTGGTGGGCATAGAATTTTTCAGCTACATGAACTAGAGGAGTTGAGGAATGAAGCTTTTGAAAATCATAAAATATATAAAGAAAAAATTAAAACTTTTCATGATAAATACATTAGCAGAAAAAAAATTGATGTTGGAGAAAAAGTGTGGTTATATGATTCTAGGCTGAAATTATTCCTAGGAAAATTAAAATCAAAATGGAAAGGGCCTTATGTGGTGGAAGAGACATATGATCATGAGGCTGTCATGATTAAAGATCCTAAAAGTGATCATAACTTTAAGGTAAATGGACAGCGACTTAAACATTACATAGAACATGAACGCCTTGCAGAAAAGGAAATTTTATTATTAAAAGAAATTCAAGAGTAAGACCAAGGAGCCTAGTTGGAGACATTAAATTCAGCGCTGCATGGGAGGCAACCTATTGTTTTTATTTTATTTTGTTTGATTTTTTTTTAAGCTCTATTTTTCTTAGAATTTCGTAGTACTTGTTTTTGTATTTTTTTTTTTCGAAAAAGTGTAGGAAGAGGAGTGTATGATGAAGCGGAAAATTAAAAACAAGGTTGAGGTGATGTCTTTCTGAGCTTCATCATTTATGAAAATATTTTTAATACTTAACTTTGTAGATATGCATGCTTCACTTGAAAATTATATTTTCTGCATATTCTGTTTTGAGTTTTCTATGTCATTGAGGACAATGTCATTTTTAAGTTGGGGGGTGAAGTATTCATTATTTTATGTTGTAAGATGATTAAGAACATGTGTTTCCATTTTATTTAACTTAGAACAGCAACAAAAAAATAAAATTAAAATAAAATTCAGAAAAACTACAACATTTATTTTTTGGTTTTCTGTCAGAAATAACAAATTGTCAAAAACAGCAGACAAAAAATAGCCCAAAATTTGAAATTCTAGAAGACCCTTTTCTCACATTTCAATCCCCTAGATATATATTACTGAAATTTGAAAATATAGCTATAAAGAGGATAGTTTTGATTTATTTTTGACAAATTTATTGCTGCTAAAAATAGAACTGAAAATAGAAAATAGAACTGTCAGAACTATCTAATTTACAAATTCCTTACATCATATTGTATGCATGAAAAATTAAATCAATTAGATTGATTGATACCAAAAGATACTAGGAAGATTATTATTGAGTCAAAAAAATGATCTAGTAGCATGAAATGTTGGAATACTCCTTGAATACATGATAGATAACATGGATTTGATTTTATAGATTTTCACTTCATGATCTTGATGGATAGTATTTACTTGATGTGAAAATTTGATTGATCATTTGAGTTTAATGGAGATTTTTGCACCCTAATCTATTGGACTTGTGAGAAGAAATCACTTATTTCGAAAAAAAAACAAAAAAGAGAGAACAATGTGAAAAATTTAGAAACGAAGAGTACACATAGAGGGTGTGAGACATCATTCTCATTGTCAAAAATCGTGCATAGAAAAACACTTGCTAAGAAATAAGTGGATAAAGTGAAAGCCATGAAAATGAAGAGTACACATGGAGGGTGTGAGACATCATTCTTATTGTCAAAAATTGTCTACAGGAAAAACTACTTATTTACTATATATATAAATAAATAAATAAAGAAGGAAGAAATATAGTGCAAACTTCAAAAATCAAGTCATAGAAAAAAGAAAATGTAAGATCAATATTATTCTTGGATGAGTATTGATAATTAGAACATCTTGTAAATACATCTATGTGTGAAGAAGTGATAAAGATGTGAATAGAAGAAGTGAAGTCTAGATTGTTATTCCAAGGAGTGTTTAAACATTTAAGTACTTGACATCATTCTTAAATACTTGATATAAGAATCCAAAGTGTTTAAAGGTGTATTATTTCTAAAAAAAAAAATTTCTATATTGAAATATGATGTTTGAGATTTGTAAAATTTTATTTTTCTAATTTCATTGCTAAGGGACTAGCAATGATTTAAGTTGGGGGGTGTGATAAGTCTTCATTATCATGAGTTAATAATTAGTAAATAATATAGTTTTAGCCTTAACTCATGATAAATAGACTTATATTTGTGTTAAAAAATGATTTGTTGTTTTCAGTTGATTAATGTGAATTTTTGGGTAATTATGTGATTTTATACAATTTTTACAGTCTTACTTTTGAGATAAATGAAGAACAAGAAATAAAAATAAAAAATATTGCAAAATGGGGGACCCATCGACCAACCGAGCCCACAAGCAGGTCGGAAGCACAATTGGAGAGTAGCCGCGAGTAGAGGCTCGAGCGGCTTAGATTGGAACCAGTAGGGGCATGTGTACGCCACTCCCCTTCCATGTCACTAGTGACCAGCCGGCTGTGGGGCAAAGAGTGGTCGTACACGCGAGAGAAGAGACTTTGCTTAGAAAGTTAACATTACTATATATTCACCCAAAAAATTGGCACACAACCGATGTGAGACTAAACCCGCGTCACACCTTCCTCACAGGCAGGCGATCGGCACAGGTTTGAATCCTCACAAAGTCAAAATTCATATATTTTTATCTGATTATCGTGACTTTCTTGTAGATCACTAGTGAAGGAT